TAAGAATTCCCTTATTCGAATATAAAATGAATGCAGCATGAAATTATATATAAATAAATTGCCCGTAGGCTTACATCATTTAAATCAAGAGGAAGGGTTTAATCCTTTTACATCAATGGCATTCTGCCTACACATAAAAGGCCCCGTGGCCAACAAATAAGGAAGATCCGTGACCTTGTAGCACATCTCAACATTCACCTAAAAAAGGATTAGCAACGTGGGATGAACATAAAGTCCAGCAGGGATCTCAACAAGATCCTCAACAATAGCAACTTACAGATAGCTATGATCATGAATGCTAATCTCATACCATATAAATAATGTGACATTTGTAGCCAAAGTATACATACATACGTACTTTTCTCAAAATCATTTAGTTTATTCAACAAAACCAAGGTTCGCTTTCACTGCCCATTTCCATTTTAACAATTATTACACGATAACCATATTTTCCATTTGTAACAAAATACCACATAATACCCACTTTATTTTTGAAAACACGTTCACCAAATCCAATTTCTCCACATTATTTATAACCCAATACATAACCAAAGCCCGTCTCCACTCGTTCATCACATTCTCAATCTTTAAGCTCAAGTTAAAAGAGATACTTTTAATAACTGATTTATGGCAAGGAGATCCCTCAACCACTCTCTAACCCTCCAAATATACATAAACACATCTACTTAACATATAAGACATCATAACCTTACTGAATCATAATCATCATAACACATGACACGTATTATCAAATGAGACAACAATGATAAATAATCTCTGCCCTACTTGCCAGAAGCACAATAAGCCAATGATATATCTCTCCACAATGAAAAGCTAATTTACCAGACACCAGCTGGAAAGGAATGGTACCTCTACCAATTCTCCAGGCGCTAACTGGAAGGGAATAGTACCTCTCATTCTCAGCTCAACCAATTCTCCAGGCACTAGCTGGAAGGTAATGGCACCTCTAATTCTCAGCGCAACACATTTTCTCAATCAGCACTTTATACAACATTCATACATAACTCAAGTGTACTACAGACACATAACCATTTCAATATTTGCAATGTCATCCTCCACCGATGACCAAGGACAAAACCTCTAAGCAACATGTATTAATTACGGGAAATACAATCATCCAATTCTTACGGGGCATTAAGTCCAACAACAACAATGATGTTCCAAGGTTTTCAACTTTATCATGGTTCTTTCTTAATCCACAAAGAGTTATAATTGTCTCTACATTCCAATGCCAATTTTTCTAAAATTTCTAACTCACCATACACAATTATATTTATATAAGAATGAAACCCCTATTCCTTTAATTAACCAAAATCCCAATTCCATGGATAACCAAATCATAACTCCCTCAATTTCAACTCAATCAAAAGTATTATTAAAAGATTCTAATCTCATGATTACCCCATTTTAGTGATTTCAAAATTTCCAATTTGTTACACTCAACAATGAACACACAACACAAGTTAAATGCCAAAATTCATAGAACTCAAATAAATCTCAATTAAATGAATAATTCTTCATTTACATCCCTTAACTCATAGCATGATTATTTCATAATTTCTATCCTTTTCACCCATTAACATTATTACGAAAATTAGGGTTTTATCTCTCTCTAAACATGAATATGTTAAACCATGCCCCAAATTAACTCAACAACAATTTATTCTACAAAATCTCAAGCTCAACACCCAACTTTAGATCTCCTATCATGATTTTCAAAGAAAAATCCATAACAACATGGTTTTTATCCAATAAAAACATACCACATGTCTATCTATAGTAGAGGTATTGAAAAAGGTCAAAGAAATCCCTACCTCAAGAGAGAAAAGGAGAAAGAGCTCAAAAATCAACGTCACCGGAATACGATCTCCATCGGTCAAGACGAAACCCTCGACATACTCATCATTTTGGTATAAGGGACTAGCACCAAAATCCCAATGGATTCATGGGATCAAAAGAAAATGTAAAGTTTCGAGGGTTTGGGTAGAGAGAGATGAGAGAAAAAGAGAGAAAATATTGTAGAGAGAGTGATATATCAGCAAATGAGAGGAAAGGGGCCAAATGTGCAATACATAGCTGAAATGCATGAAAAATGAGACAAAATACGCGTCTGGCTGCATATACGTGTAGCTCCTACCCTCGCACGTGCGGTCGCCTCCGCACCTCAACTCACGCACCTGCCTTTTAAGCAGTGTGCACACAGCCCAAACCCCTACTTCCCGCACGTGCAGCCTGATCTCCCACACGTCCTGCCCAAGGCCCGCACGTGCGGCCCTGGCCTCCAGCCCGAAAAACCCCCAGCTTCTCCCTCAACACTCCGGAATCGACCTCGCACCCTCCGAGACAAGTGAAAACTCGAAATTTGAAACAACAAGGACAAAAAATTCTGTGGAGAAGTTCTAAAAAACAACAAACTTAACTGTTGACTGGACCACACTTCGAAACTCGACACTTTAATGAAGGCCAATCCGACATAATTCAAGAGAACAAGGCAACTTACGTATCGGTCATCACAGGATAAGTTATAGGGACCAACTCTGAAATTTAAAAATACATATATATATATATAATAAATTCTATAATTTTTTATTTTAATCTTCTTTTTAGTAAAATTTAATGAACTCAAATTAATACAAATAGTGAAAAATATAAAAATTAACAACATATAATTTTTATTTTCATATAAAAGAGATGATAATATTATTTTTTTTCATCAATATAACTAACAAATTATTGATAAAAATTAGATCAAATGTTATATAAATTAACAATTTATGTAAACTTAATAAAACTATGTCAAAATTATAAAATTTATTATTTTTTTTCAAATTTTAAAAGAATTGTATAATTTATCCATATTTTAAGGAGCGACTAATTTCACAAATAATTTGATAAATAGAGTAGTTTAATAAATAATTATATTTAAAATATATTTTTTCACTAAAATGACCCAAATTATAAAGGATAATTACTATTTAGAGCATTCACTCCAAGAATCTAGCTAGCTAACCGGAAGAAGAGTCCCTACTTCAACAAATTTCAAAAACGGCCCAAAATCAAACCAAACAGCCCTTTAAACCAACACAAATCGAGAGAGAGAGAGAGAGATGGCAGGGTATAGAGCTGAAGATGAATATGATTACTTGTTCAAGTTGGTTTTGATTGGTGATTTAGGTGTAGGTAAATTAAACCTTCTCTCGAGGTTTACGAGGAACAAATTTAATCTGGAATCCAAGTCCACTATTGGGGTTGAGTTCGTTACCAAAAGCCTCAACATTGATGGCAAGGTCATCAAAGCTCAAATTTGGGACACTGCTGGTCAAGAGAGGTCTCTCTCTCTCTGCAATTTTGCTTTTTCTGATATGGGTATATTTGTATTTGTATGTATCTACATGTGTCTGCTTGTTGATGTATATCCATCATCCATGTCTACAAAAGTATATTTCAATTATGTATTTGTTTGTGAAGTTAGCTCTGAATTCTTGTGTTTTCACTTGAATTCTTAATGGGTTTTGTTAGGCCAGGAAAATTAAATGATTATATGTGAAGTTCAACAATTTTTGATGTGGGTTTTGATGTTTAATGACATTCTTAATGGTCTTTGAAGCCACAAATGGCTATTATTTACAATTGTTAGAGATATATATTATTATTTTATATTTATCTATATGTATTGTAGATGTATCTCATCTCTTTTTCTATACTTATCTCTGATGTATTTCTATCTTCTTTCCTCAGCCTATAAATATAGGCTTCTTGTATTACATTCAATACAATTCAATATACAGTCTCTCTACTTTCATAACATGGTATTAGAGCCTGGGTTCTCTCCTAGCATTTTTTTTTCCTCACGTTTTTTTCTTTTGGCAGATTGTTTCTGTCCTCAGTCAGTTTCTGTTGGTTTTGCATATCTAGTTCATTCCTCTTTCACTGTTTGGATTATACCCACCTCTTCGTCTCTTCACAATGAAGCCAACGCCACCAGATTCGCCTTCATTGGCCTCTGAACGTGCCCTCATGCGCTTCCCAAAGCCCAGCGCATCGGTTGATGTCGCCTCCACTCTCAGAACGCTCCTGCACGCGTCGTCTCCTCCGGCTTCCTCGGCTTGCTCATCGACTTCTGCATCAGCCACCCTTCCGCACCCACACCTCAGCCGCTCCAACGTTGGCTTGCCATTGGTTTCCGCATCAGCCGCCATTGGCTTATGTCCCCGCACCTCAGCCGATCTTCCGTCGGCTTCCGTATCAACCGACTCTCCTTGGCTTCCAGTCAGCTTCCATCTCAGCTGCTTCTCTTGTTCATCAGCCGCTGACGTCAGCCCTACTCCATCATTGCCTCGCTACTGACATCATCACCGCCACAGTGCTGATATCAGTCCTACTTGTCCCTAAGGTTTTTCAGCCTTCTGAATTTGTTAGTGACCTCTGTTTTGGCATTTATGGATCGTATAGAGAACATCCAATCTGTTTTTGTTATCCTTGATGGGTCTAATTATGTTAGTTGGGCTCAAGCTCTCTCCAGTTTCATCAAGGGAAAACGCCTTTGGCGGATCATTACTGGTGCTCTTCTTAAACCCACCCAAAAGGACGAAGAGACGGACTCTACATTCGATGATCGTCTTGACGAATGGGAAAGTAAGAATTATCAAATTATCACATGGTTCCAGGCTACCTCAGTTCCTTCTATGCACCTTCAATTTGGACGCTTTTTGGATGATGACTCCCTTGCCTCTCCTGCCAAAGCAATTTGGGATTTCTTGAAGGACTGTTATCAGACCACTGGACATGCTCATCAGTATCAACTGTTGCAGACTCTTCATCACATGCGCCAGGCTCCCGGTCAGTCTCTCAATGACTTCATCTCCCAAATGTCGTCTGTTTGGGACCAGCTCGCTCTTTCTGAACCTCCATAGGCTCATTATGATGATGTAGAACTATTTATTACTTATCGGAATTATCAGCGACTATTATAGTTTCTTATGGCTCTTCATAGCACTTTTGAGCCCGTGTGTGCTTCTTTACACCATCGTTTGCCCTTGCCCACCTTAGAGCAAGCCATTACTGAGCTCCTATCCGAGGAGACTCATTTTGGGAGTCTCAGATCTCAAGACACGGATTCTGTTCTTGCTACGCCATCTTCTCCAAGTTCCTCATCTTCCCAGCCAATCATATGCAGTTATTGTCGCAAACGAGGCCTGCCAGTCAATCATTCTCTTGTTCACTGCCAGGTTCGTGAATGCTTGACTTGTCACAAGACTGCTCCAGGCCATCTATAAAGCAATTGTCCTCGAGCTCCCTCCACTACTTCATCTAAGAAAGGGGCTTCTCGTTCTGGGTATCAGTCCAAATCTGGCCACGGTTCTCGCTCTGCTGCTATTGCCTCTGAGGGTTCTTCTGCTCCTTCCTTCTCTATGGATGATGTTGAGTCCATTATCCACCAGGTGCTCAACAAATCTGGTACTCCTCCCTCTACTGCTCTTTCAGTAACCTCAGGTAACTCTTCATGGTATTTTGATTCCACATGCTGTAATCACATGACTTCTAACTCAACTCTATTTTCTTCTTTGTCATCATCCTCTTCTGCTCCCACTATGTACACTGCTGATGGTTCTCATATGCCTGTTAGTCATATTGGCCAAATCTTTACTTCCACTTTGTCTCTTTCTAATGCTTACCATAGTCCTTCTCTTAAAATGAACCTTATCCCTGTTGGTTAATTATGTGAACTTGGTCTAACTATTACCTTCTCTGCTAATGGGTGTTTGGTGCAGGACCCTCAAATGAGATAGATCCGTGGGATAGGCCGTAAGCATGGACGTCTGTTCGAGCTTATTCATCTTCGCAGTCCGCACAAATCATCTACTGTTGCTGCTGCATCTACTATGTCTTCTTTTCATCTTTGGCATTGTCACTTAGGACATGTCTCTTTTAGTCGTTTGAAAAATTTAGTTTCTAGTGGTCAATTAGGTCATGTCCGTCTTGAAGATGTCGATTGTTTATCTTGTCAAATTGCTAAACAACCTGCCTTTCCTTTTAATAAAAGTAATTATATTTCTACTGCTCCTTTTGATCTTGTGCATTCCAATATTTGGGGGCCTTCCCCCACACCTACCATGGGGGGGGGGATCTAAATATTTTGTGATTTTTGTTGATGATTTTTCTCGCTATACTTAGCTTTTTCTTCTCAAAAATCGCTCTGAACTTAAACAGATTTACTATGATTTCTCTGCTATGGTCCGCACTCAGTTTTCTCGTACTATTAAGCATTTTCGTTCTGATAATGCTAAGGAGTACTTGGATTCTGATTTTCTTTCTTTTCTTTGAGCTCATGGTACTCTCTCTCATCGATCTTGTGCAGCCACTTCCCAACAAAATGGCTGAGCCGAAAGAAAGCACCGTCATATTTTAGACACTACTCGGGCTCTTCTCCTCTCTTCTTCTTGTCCTGAAAAATTTTGGGGGGAAGCTGCCCTCACTGCCATCTATACCATCAATCAAGTCCCTACCCTTGTAATAACTAACACTTCTCCTTACGAGTTGTATGGTTCTCCTCCTGATTATACCACTCTTAAAGTTTTTGGTTCTGCTTGTTTTGTTCTACTTCAGCCTCATGAACACACTAAACTAGAACCTCGTTCTCATCTTTGTTGTTTTCTGGGATATGGTACAAAACATAAAAGGTATCGTTGTTGGGATCCTATCTCTAAGCGTCTTCATATTTCCCATCATGTGGTCTTCTGGGAACACAAAATGTTCTCCACTCTTTCCACGTTTCACCTACCACAGTCCACCCACTCACCGGTCTTCACTGATATTTCTATAGATTTGTTTTCTGATGACTTTGATGCAGATTCTGGCCCCATGCTTCCACAGCCGCCTATGCCTATCATCCATCTTGAGGATCCTGTGTCTGCTGATGGCCCTACGCTTTCTCCAGATTCGGTGGAGGTTCCTCCAGAACCTACTTCCAGTGAGGTTCCTCCTCCACCTGAGCATCATTCTACACAGGTAAGGCAACCTTTTGCATTTGATGTGGAATCTCTTGACCCTGAGAGTGATTGCTCTATGCACATACAACATAACAAGTTGGTACCAGTCAATTTGAGTTTGATGTCTGTGTTATGTATTGTTTGGTCCTTTTATTGTCAAATCCTCATACAAACTTTGTTTTGAAAAGTTGTAATTTTTCCTTGTTTTTTGTCTTTCTCGCTTGAGCGGGACCATTGGCGCTCGAGCGTAATATGTGATGTCTCAGTAGTTGGTCGTGTCTGTAAACATACTGAGAAGTGTGATTTCGCGCTCAAGCGTGTGTTCTAGCGCTCGAGCAGAAACCTGTTTCGTCACACGCGTATTTTACTGAAGCCGCTCGAGCGGGCTGTCCTACGCTCGAGCGGAGATCGCGACCTCTGTTTTCTATTTATATATGTTTTAGGCTGATTTTAGGTTTTACTTTTCCTAGATCTTGTTTGAGGATCTTAGGGTTTTCTTCTGAGGTTTTTGGTCAGTTTTCCTTGATATATTTGAGAGGGTTTGTAACCTATGATCTAAGATACATACATCAAGGAGTTTGTTTCTTCATAATTAAGAGTGTTCTTCTTCGGTGGAATCCAGAGATTCAAGCATGGAGCATCAAAGGAGTTTGATACTATACGTGGTCGTTAATTCGACATTAGAGGCTATGGATTCAATCTCGTACTGATCAATTCCGAGGCGAAGGCTGTGGCGAAAGAGTTACAGAAGGTTTGACGACAAATTTGACGCGTTTGGTAATTTGTTGTTTATCTTTGTAATCTTTCTTTCTTCAATAGTGGATTGATTAGTGGCATTTCGCCCGTGGTTTTTTTTATCACAATTGGAGGTTCTTCAATTGTGGTTTTTCCACGTAAAAATCATGTGTCTCGATTTATTCTTTATTCTGAAAACAACAATCTAAATCACGTTCATAAGTGCTTGATGATTTAGATTGTGTGTTTTGAATAATTGGGAATTGAAATATTTTAATCTTGATCTAATCACGAATCACTTAGGATTTTCAATTGGTATCGGAGCGGGTCACTCTTTGTTTTTATCAAAACTATAGGAGTGTGATTTTGTGTGATTAAGGGATATGAATTCAATTCGTGAAGGTAACTCAACCCATAGACCTCATTTACTCGATGGTACAAACTATTCTTATTGGAAAGCTCGTATGAGAGCGTTTTTAAAATCCATCGATGAGAAAGTTTGGCACTGCGTGATTTATGGGTGGAGTGAACCTATTGTCACCGTTGATGGTATTGATATTCCTAAACCCCTTGATAAATGGGACACAACCAATTACCAAAACTCGAGTTGGAACAGTAAGGCTCTCAATTCCCTTTTTTGCTCCGTCACACTTGAAGAGTTTCGTCGTATTTGCATGTGTTAGGTAATAAAAGAGGCTTGGGACATTCTTGAAACAATTCACGAAGGTACTACTTCTGTCAAAAGGTCAAAACTTCAACGTCTCACCTCCACCTTTGAAACTCTTTTTATGCGCGATGATGAGACGTTTGATGATTTCTATGCAAAACTTAGTGATATCGTGAATTCCTGTTTCACACTCGGTGAAAAAAACCCTGAAGCTAAAGTTGTTGGTAAAATTTTGGGGTCATTACCTGAGAGGTTCCAATCAAAAGTGACAGCCATTGAGGAGGCTCAGAATGTTGGTACCCTCAAGCTTGATCAGTTGGTTAGAAACTTGCAGACCTATGAAGCCCACCAGATTTCTAAGAAAAAACAAAAAGATAGTGTGGCTTTCACTAGTGCTCATGAGACTGCAAAAACTCCGGAGACTGAGTTTGATTTAGAGTTTGAGATGACGGCTATGTTTACTAAACAGTTTAAAAAAAATTTGAAGAAAAAGAAGCCTAATTTCAGAGACCCTATTTCAAAAGACTAGAGTAATGAAAAACCCAAAACGTTTCCACCAAAACTTGCTCCAAAACCTGAAAAGAAGATTGTAAAGGGGCAAGGGGTCAAATGCTATGAATGTCAAGGGTTTGGCCATATTGCCTCTCAATGTCCTTCGAAAAAGAATCGAAAGAAAGTCTACACAGTGACTTGGGATGATGAAAGCGGATCAGAGCAAGAACCCGAAGAACCTAAATCCGGTGAAGACGGGGATAGTGCTTTCATGGCATTTTAGTCCACTTTTACTCAACCTCTTCCAAAGCCAGCAGAATTAGCTCGTGGTCAGAACCTGCATCATGCTCCCACCTTTGATGGGAGTAACTACTTGTCTTGGAAGATTAGAATGAGGGCGTTTCTGAGAGCTTTCGATCCAGAAGGCTGGCAAGCCATTGAAGAGGATGTTGAAAGTGTTGACAATCCAAGCAATTAGAGAGTTCTGACTACTATTCGTGGAGCTATTTCTGATGAAGAACATCAACAAGTTGCTCACTGCACAAAGGCTAAAGATGCATGGGAAGTTCTGAGCCAATTTCATGAAAAAGGAGATTCATCTTCACCGCCATCTATCACCTTTCCTGCCTTAGTTGCCCGACTGGATGAGGTCAAGGAGAATGAGGAGCAAAAAGATGATGATGAAACATCAAAAGACAATGATGAGATTACTGGTGACGATCTACAACAAGCTTATGAAAAGCTTTACGATGAATCCTTGAACCTGTCTAAAATCAATGACAAAGTCACTCTCAAGCTCAAAGCATGTGAAAGCAAGAATGTCAAACTAAAAGGAGAACTTGTAGCAACAAAGCAGAATGTCATCAAGATCTCAAGTGATAGGCAAGACCTATGTGGAAAACTTCTATCCTGTGAAACTGAAAGGAATGAACTTCTGAAAGTTTCCATATATGAAGAGAAGCTTGAAAGCCTTGAGATGTCACAAGCTACATTGGAAGAGATAGTCTGTGAGAAAGATGAAGAACTTCGCATTGCTAGAGCCACAATTGCCATATGGGACAAAGGTTCCAAATCATTAGAAGACATCCTCGGGTCTCAACAAATAGGTTGTGACAAAAGTGGGCTAGGATATGGTGCGACAGCTCACAAGGGACAGGCCTCTACATCACATGACCTGAAGACCCAAGCAAAGGGAAAGTTGAAGGTAGACCAGGATGATCCCTCTCTTCATCTGCCTAAAGGGGGTAAGATCAACAAAAGAGAGGTAAAACCTGTTTTTATTTGTCATCACTGTGGTAGGTATGGCCATATTCATCCTTATTGCTTTGAATTATTTAGTAAGGTGTCTCAAAAGGGTATAAATTTGAATACATTTTGGGTTAGGAGACAACCTTACATGTCCAGGCAGAATACCAAGATTCATGAGGGTGTTCACAACGCCAAGACATTTACCAAGACCGCTAGACCTAATTTTGTTAAGACCAAAAAGATTTGGGTGAGAAAAGATGATTTGACTTGTTTAGTTGTTCACACTGCTCTAAAAGCACGTGACTCACACATGTGGTATCTTGATAGTGGGTGCTCTCGTCACATGTCCGGTAACAAATCCTACTTCACCTCCCTTGAAAAATATGAAGGATGAATTGTTACCTTTGGAGATGGCAGCACTTCTAAAGTCATTGGTAAGGGCTCTATAAGTGTTGCTGGTCTTCCCAAGCTGGAAAATGCTTTACTTGTTGATGGTCTTAAAGAAAATCTTTTAAGCATTAGTCAAATGTGTGATTCCCACCATGAAGTATTGTTTTTAAAAAATAAATGTGAAATTTTGGATAAAAAGGGAAATATTGTCTTGCATGGGGTTCGCACATCTGATAACTGCTATGGGATTGTTACTACTAATAATCTCACTTGTCACTCTGCCATCATAAGTAACATTGATTTGTGGCATCAAAGATTAGATCACATGAATTTCAAAGACCTAACTAAGATAGTCAACAAAAAGCTTGTGAGAGGAGTACCTAAACTGGGTAAGAATCTGAACCATGTGTGTGGACCATGTCAACTTGGAAAGAAAACACGTGCCCCTCATAAAAAGGCGAACAACTTTACAACCAAACGTCCTCTTGAATTGGTTCACATGGACTTAATGGGACGTACTCGCATTGAAAGCATCGGAGGTAAAAGATATATTTTTTTAACTGTTGATGATTTTACTCGATTTTCGTGGGTAAATTTTTTAAGGGAAAAATCTAATACGTTTGATGCTTTCCGGGCCTTAGTCCTTAAAATCCAAAATGAAAAGGGTGTTTCCATTGGACGTATCATAAGAATCCAAACTGATCATGGTCGTCAGTTTGAAAATAGTTCGTTTTTGGATTTTTGTGATATGCATGGAATTAAGCACGAATGTTTTGCACCTATTGCTCCACAACAAAATGGGGTAGTTGAGAGGAAGAACAGGGATGTTCAAGAGATGTCTAGGGTCATGCTCCTTAGTAAGAAACTTCCTTCAAAGTTTTGGGCTGAAGCCCTAAATATTGTTGTTTATGTCATAAATCACGTGTATTTAAGGCCCGGTACTTTACAAACTCCATATGAATTGTGGAAGGGATTGAAACCTAATGTAAAATACTTCAAAACTTTTGGGAGTAAGTGTTACATTTTCAAAGATAGAGAGCCTTTGGGCAAATTTAACACCCGAAGTGATGAAGGTATTTTTCTAGGGTATTCAACCACTAGTAGGGCTTTTTGAGTCTATAACCTGCGAACTTCTTCTTTAATGGAATCAATCAATGTGGTTATAGATGACACAGGTCTCCCTACTCTAGCAACAAATGAGGATGACAATGGTGAGTCTCCAATCCTGGATACTGAACCACAAAGTCAAAGAGAAGCTGAGGTCCAAGCACAAGAAGTTGAGACAGCACCATCCTCACAGGTAAGTCAAGGTCCAAAGAGTGCACAAAGAGACATCACTCCTGATGCATCTGTCATCGCAAGTCCTGAGTTCAAACCGTCAGCAAGGGTGAAACTGAATCATCCAGCTCAACAAGTGATTGGAAATGTATCGGATCGAATGAAAACCCGAAGACAGATTCGGGATGAGATATCACATATGTGTTATG